GTGTGCTCTTCCGATCTAGTAGTAGTAGTAGTAGTAGTAGTAGTCGTCGTAGTAGTAGTCGTAGTAGTAGTAGTAGTAGTAGTAGTAGGAGTAGTAGGAAGAATAATAAGAGTAGTAAGAGTAGTAACAGCAGTAAGAGCAGTAAGAGTAGTAAGGGTAGCGAGAGTAGTAAGAGTAGTAAGAGTATTAAGAGCAGCAAGAGCAGTAAGAGTAGTAAGAGTAGTAAGAGTAGTAAGAGTAGCAAGAGTAGCAAGAGTAGTAAGGGTAGTAATGTGGCAACTGCGGCTGCGGTTGTGATCGCAGCGGTTGATTATGTTGCTTCTGTTGCGATGTTAGTTGTCGTTGGTGCTGTTATTTCGTTCCATCCATTACTTCTACCGGTACATTCCCGGTACATGTTTCTGTCTGACTTGAAGCATGCTGGCGACAACTTGTCGTACAATCGGTCTTGCGCATCTCGACCCAAAGCTTGTGCTCACTATGCACCACATGGTAAACAGCACTGCATCCTTGACGTTCAAAGTATCTGCATCCTTCCACGCTCCACCCAAAAGTCTTGTGTAAAACGACGGCCCCTCGGGCCTGGAGCTCCCACTGCCGGCTGGCTAGAAGTGTGCAGCTTTTCCTCGGGCTCCAGATATGACTGCTGGTGTGGGAGACCTCAAAGAATGTGCTTGAGCAAGCAGAAGAAAGGGGGCGAGTGAAACTTAGACGGAACTCCGGCCTCAATGCCTCTGCCGCTCCTTTCCGAGAAGACTCTGCTCCGAACTGCAGGCTCTATGCCCAATAAATGCACAGAAGGAGACGGTGCTTACACCCGGGATGGAAGTTGCACACAGAGAATGGAAGTCTAAGCCGAGCACAGCGGGTGTTGAATTCGCAGTCGCTGGGCCTTGGCCAAGTGTCAGACTGCGGATGAAACGTTATGAAGGACTGGAGTGAAGCACAGAACTATGCTTGCATCATCTCGCTTCGACTGCCCGTTCTGGTGCATTCAACAGAGTTTGCAAGTCTGCCGACATGAGATTATCTCGACTTCATCTGACGCTTCTCTTCCAAGATGGACGTCAAGGATGTATGAGGTTGGGTTGACAGCGGCGGAACATGGAAAATCTCGCATCATCGTTTTTCCAGCGGCGAGGATGCACCAACTGCTCTTCTTGAGTCGCAGACAACACTTGACATCTTGTGATCGCTCTTTCGACCAGTTGAACGTTTCAGGGTTTAGGGCTTGAGGACGACTGGTTTATAGCTTTGTCTGGTGGAGAAGCAGCCCCGCCATGCAAGAGAGGCTTGTTGCAAGCAGGTGCGCAGAACCCGAAACCCGAATTAGAGGCCTGGGGGCTAGGAGTTTACGAAGCAATCGCCGCTCCATGCAGCCGCAACCTCAATAGCGCATGGTCCGGGCCCTCTCAGGGGCTCTTCATGGAGACTTGGCCGCCACCGTCCTGGCAGTTGGCAAAGCTTGTAAGACCATCGGCATGCTGGGCTTAGAGTAGGGGTTTAGTATTTAGGGTTTCGGGTTTAGGGCTGTCAACCCCTCAAGCCCAAACTGAGAGCCCGATGTACAGTAACGGATCATGAGCGATCCGCCTGGAGCTGCCCCCAAAGGTCCCGCAGCAACGGCAGCGAGAGACCTTGGACGGAGTCCAAGCCACCTGGAAGCCGAGTTGATTCGGTGCTTCGGTTGCTTGGGATCCGGCTTCAAGTTGTCTGTCTAGTGGAGCTTTGCGTTCAGGGAAACGTAAGGTGGCAACCGGCAAGCAGTTGCGCCTTGATACATGCACGTCAGCAGGAAGGGCAGCTGCGGAAATAACAAAGGCCGGACCCTGACCCCCCTGCGCCTTCCACCCGATCGACGTGGCACTCTATCAGCGGGTGCTCCACCATCAACGCACCTTAAGGACAACTTTCTTGGGAACTTGGCACATGCTGGTAGCGGCGCTCATCGCCAGCTCAGGGACTTTGAATGTATGAAAGGTGAGGTTCTCAGCCCAAGACGCATCGCCCAGTGTTCTTCCCAGTCCGAAGGCTCTTCACAGACTCCACTTCGAACCCTCCAAACCCAACTGCATCCCTCGCTTCAACTTGAAGGCCCAGCTGCCGGCACAGTCTAGCAGCGCGCTCTCGCTCTCAAGCTCAGTGAGAACATCCTGGAATTCGACAGAGGCGGAGGTCAGCCAGCGGGCATGTCGATCACACATCTTCTTCGACAAGCAGCACAATCAGGCAGCCACTGTGACAATGCCAACCGCTAGGCAGCGCCGAGTGTCTCCTATGGACATTGGGGCAGCTAGAGTCCTCGCTGGCGATGCTTGGCTTGAAGAAAATGTCTGCCACCTGCGGGCGGTGCATCCTACTGAGTTGGATCGCAAGCCCTTTCTAGGTCCTGCGGATTATTTTGACCCTTGGCTGTCTATTTCATAGTTGCTTTCTAGGGTGGGGGGTTTTCGGAAGGGGAGGCAAAGGTTATTATCCTAAGGATCATGCCTATCCATCTAAAGATCAATGACAACACTATTGGAGGCTTTCTTCTGCAAAATCATCTGACCGCTTCTCGGGGTTCCGTGCTGGGAGGCCATGGGGCCATGTGCTTGTGGCATTTGTCACAGATTCAAGCTCAGAGGATCATGGTTCAGGGTTTCAGTGCCTAGGGAGCTGGCTGCAGCCAGCAAGTTGCTAAATGGTGCTCGAATGCTTGAAGACAAAGCGGGGCAATCTCTGCGCAGTGCTGAACCCATCTTTTGCACTTGGCTTCAGTGTCATAGAGTTCCCCTGCGTATCGATACCGATCGCATCACGATGCTTTGCAGCCCACGCCTGCACTCCCACGACTCGCTGTCGCGAGGAGAGGTCGTGGAGGCAAAGAGCCCCGACCTGGCCAAAAGTCCGCCCACGGCTTCTGCAAGACATGATCAGGGCAATGAACTTCTGCCTCTTCCGTATGAAGCCTGCGCATGGACGTGTTATCATGCCGAAGATCAAAAAGCAGCTTCGTCAAGTATCCTGGTGCAAGGGCTTCAGGTGCCCAAGATCAAAGGGGGGGTGCTAGGGTGTCTACAGGGCTAGATGTTCGGCTTTGCAGACTCGGCTATCCGCCGGTGCCGCGCATCCGATCTCCCCAGGCGAGACTTGGAGCTTCTCCAAGCAAGGAGTTCCGTGGCACAGCTCCAAAGCGCTCCAAACCACAACCCTGCAAGCCCGATTCGCCGATTGCCTTGGGCCCCCGCCGTCCGACATGGCGCAAGGGCATAGGAGGCCAGGAAGGCTCGTGCCTGACAAGGTGGCTTCGCGCAAGAATTTAGACTTAGATAGTCTGATGTCTCAGGATAGAGGCTGAGGGCTGCAACAAAGTTGTGCGAATATCCGGTTATCTCTATCGTCGCGTCAGATACATACATCACAGGTCGAAGATGATGCGACGTGGCGGACGTCTCTGGATGGCATCAAGCAATCGCCATAGAACCATGCATGAGCGACCCCTTTCCCTGCCAGTGTGAATCATACTCGCTGCGAACTGCCACCAGTCCTAGCTGCCACCTCTGATCAATTTGCTCTAGCATGCCGTTCAAGGAACCACATTGGCTGCTGCAGCCCAGTCTCACTGAGCCGTGCTCTGCTGCCGCTACAACTAAACGAGACAGGCCGTCCATAACTACCACTAGTTAAATCTGCTCATAGACTGTCCATCCTTAGTCCGTTCACAGAATTCGGGCATGCAGCATGAACACCCGCACTGCCTGCTGTTCTAAATGCTTAGATAAGAACCAGCTGCACAGAAGGTGCACTGAGGGCAAAGGAGCGTGACGATGACCACGCGGTGACACCAGAGAAGATGAACTGGGCGATAGTGCCGAGCTGCGGTGATGATGCAGTGGCAATGCTGATGTTGCTGACAGCAATAATAATGTTGCTGATGAAGCGATTTGTGACAGTATCACAATACCCCCATGTTGTCTGCCTGGTCCAACAAAGACATCATCAATAGTTTAGCTATGCCCGTCGCTACTCCCCCAGGTGGCCTCTTGCATGCTCTCGGGCTTCTCGCGTATCTGGCCTTCATAGGTGACTACCTGCAAGGAAGCCAGAACTCCCAAAGATCCCGACCCAACTCCCTCACGGAATCCAGCAGGAATCCTCTGAGCGGTGCCATAAGGACTGCGGGAAATCTAGGGCCGCTGCTGACAGGAGAAAAATCTCTTGGCACAATCGCCAGCAGAAAGGATTCCAGAAGCAGTGCTACGTATCCTAGAGAAGGAAGTAACACCCTCCGGCTTTGCTTCAGTCGACGACCTTGGGCTGGAGTCTGAACCGAAATTAAGCACACGCGAACAAACCCCAAGCCTGACACCATGCATCTGCAACCTGACGGCCTTCACACCTACTTGTACCGCCTACTCTGCACAAAGCTTCATCCCTGTGACCTTCCACCGAATGCAAGCCCCGTCCTAGCGTGGCAGCTGCTTTCCCTGCATCCTTGAACATGACCCTCTGAACCTTTGGCACTCGCGGCCTGGTCTGCAGTGAGCAGAAGCCGTCGCGAGGGGTCGTCGAGACTCGCCAGCAGTGCCTCCGGGCTCTGCATATGAGAAACCCTCGCAACCGAAAGTCTGCAAACAGGACCTATACCTAATAACTAATATTTTTCGTAACAATGGCCTTCATCTGCAGAAAACAAGTCTGGCCTCCTTCAAGGGTTTGATCGTACACACACACACACACACGCACATACGTATTTACACATTATATGCATTTACATTTTATGTATACAAATATGGTGCAGCGTCGCCCGACACCCCCCCCCCCCCGCACATTCCGCGGCTCTGCTGTGAGGCTCTGGGTGGCCTCATCCCGGCCCCCCCGCTGTGGCGTGGTCGTGGGTTTTGGCTTGATTAACCCTTGTCCCCCTGTGTGGGTTTTGGGTTATTCCCTGTAGTGTGGTGTGGTGGTGGTTTGTGGGTTTCAGGTTTAGTGTTTAACCTTGGTGTGGGTGGTGGGGTTGTTCACGGTTTAGGTGGCCTGCCTGCGGTGCGTGCCAGCACGCTCTGTGCTCCGCCGCGGCCCTTCTGTGGGTTTGTGGTGGCCTCATGCTGTCCCACGCCCCGGCCCCCCGCTGTGCGCTGTGGTGTGGTCGTGGGTTTTGGGTTGTTTAACCACACTCGTCCCCCTGTGGTGTGGTGGTGGGTTTTGGGTTATTTAACCCCCCCTCTCTTCCCCGCCCTGTGGTGTGTGGTGGTGGTGGGTTGTGGATTTTAGGTTCAGTGTTTAAGCCCTTTCCCCCCTCCCCGTGGTGTGGTGGTAGGTGCTGGGTTTCGGGTCTAGGGTTTGCACCCGCACCCCTCTTGTGGTGTGGGTGGTGGGGTTGTTTAGGTTTTATAGGTGTTTTGACAGGTGTATAGATATGAAAGGGTTTAGGGTTCAGGGTCGGCAGCTGGGCGCGGTGCAGACCGAAACCACGGCCCATGCAGGTGAGTGTCGCCACTTTGGACATGCCACGAAGTTGCATAGCTTCAAAGTCACAACCCTCACGAGGGTCCCCATCCCTGTGACTGTTGGCACCTTTGAGACAAAAGTGACGACCCTCACGAGGGTTTCGGGTGTATGGGTGTTTACCATGCGGGCGGGTGGGCGGGGGGGGAGACCATGGGAGCGGGGGTGTACCGACACGCGGCGCGAGACCCCATATGTGTATATTGAAAAGAATATATGTTTATTTAGTTATTTATATTTTTCTATATGCTCTCGAACGTGGGAGTGGGATTGAGAGAAAGGGACACTGTCGTACAGAACAGCTCTTGTACAGACAGTGTCGTTCGCCGTTGAAGATGTTCGAGTGTAGTTGCATTTCGTGCAGTACAACAACGCTTGGGGGACCGTCGGTATGTACGAACCTATTAGTAAAGGCCATGGTGCATCGGCTTTGGCGGTGGCCAACAGGCGAACCAACCTCGATACTGCGTGCTCACGTGCATTGGGAAGTGTGGGCACTGACTTTGGGATGACTGCGCAGTGTACTCGAGCGAAGGATGCAGGATGCGATAACTTGGAACGTCTATCATGCCTGCGTCCCTTCCCAGCAAGCCAAACAGCTAACTCGTTTTAGCAAAGCTTTGCATCTGCACTGATCATAGAATAAACAGTAGAAACGCTCCTTTTCCTGAGAAGTGTGTCAATCGTAACGCAGAATTTAACCCTGTACTGAAACTCCACCTCCGGGTCTCCTGAGTACACTATAGTACACTCTCGAGCAGGCCGCTTCTGGGTTCTATTCAACAAACAGTTCTTGCCACGATCGGGCTTCCTTTCCACAGTTATAAGGTAGCTGCAGGGCAAAATACCAAAATCTTCACTACAATGAAACCTCCGCACACAAAGGCCACAAAGGGACGACTAAACCTTAGGTTCCAGAAACCCACCACGTATGAACTACTCACAAATACAAAAGGTGCTGGTTCCTTGACAAGAACCCATGCAGGAGCCCCAACCGCCAGTATTGCAATCCTACGTCCAGAATGAGGCCCTGTCATCCCGAATATTGGCTGTAGCTCAAACCTTCGTCACCACACAAATATACCAATGCCTTACAAGAGCTTCATGAAAACATGTCAAAGCCCTTCTAACAACAAGAAAGGACATGATCTGTAGCTCATACGTCTGAACCTCTCAAGAAGCCAAAGCAAGGCTCTGGGCTGGCGAGAGTCGTCTCTGCATCGCCGGAAGCCCGGTCGCCCAGGGACTTCTCGTCGACCTGGGAGATCCTCAGTGGGCATTTGAGACAAGGCTCTGGGGGCTAAAATTTAGGGCTTTGGGTGTTGGAGATGGAAGGCAAAAGTACTCTGGCCATGCAAGGATTCCCTGGCTCAGCACTCTGATCGATGCATTGGAGCTGCGACAGGTCTCCAATTTGCGGCTAAAGATGCTTCGCTGCCCCCTGCGGAAAGAGGGCAGAAACCGGGCTTGCTCGGTAGAAGGGTAAAAAAATGTTTTAGCCCTCAACTATATGTAATCCGTTCACACTCTGACAACGCAGGGCAGGAGCGCAATATCAGCCCAGACTCTGCACTTCGAGCTCCACACCTGGAGGCACAAGGGGCCATGACTTTAGCACCATGCGGGCCTTGAGCTTTTAGCTTCTCACAGCTTGTTGCCGGGATCCGGCATCGTGCCTCCAGTCGTTCGCGGTGCTTTCAGACTTTGCCTTGTGATTGTGCTACCGCCCTTATTGTTGTCGTCGGCATGGGGTATGCACCCTTCCCACTTCAGAGATGCCAAGTTTCAGCTAACCAGAGAATCTGATCTGAGTTCTGAGCCTACAAACGTCAGACGTCCGGCTGAAATCCATGATTCGACCCTAAAAATAAACCTGGAACATGAGCATGCACAAGACGTGAAGCGGGAAGCACCAGCGTCCTAAACAAACCTGTGTGTACATAGAAATACTTGATATGTATAGCAAAAGTATAGAACACATACACACGATGCGTCGGAAAAGAGAAAAGCCCTGTTTGCATTCAGTTGTTAGTTTTCTTCTTATGGCGTCTGGTGCCATGGCGGCCCTTGCTGACTCCCGCGAGCCGCCTGCTTCTTCTAAAAGTCGCCGCCTTGGCCTGGCAAGGAAGGGTTTGGCTCTGCTGGGGCATCGGCATCCACAACTGGACAGGTTTAGGGCCTAGAGGGTTTAGGGGGGCCTTTCAAGACGGCAGCCCGGAACTTTACATTCATGGGAAGGTCGAATCCCTTCTCCCTTACCATGGTACAAATACTTCAGGATGTTGTTATTGCTGCATGTGGCAGTAGATGCAGCTCATAGATGGTGTTGGAATACCTTACGAGAATCACCCCGCATAAAAAAGTATCACGCAAATCTGTGTGTATACGTGCGCGTGTCTCATGATTGGCTGGAGCCGAGGGAAGCGCGAAGTGCCCTGTGGAGGCCCGCGAGCCTGCTCCGTGAGCCCAGCAGCAGCGGAGGCAGGGACAGCGCAAGACTTTTCGCCATCCTCGGCCGGGGGGCTCTCTGGATACTGCGGTACAGTATGAGGACTACAACCAGAGCCACTGCAACTGCCACTACCATCATGACGACGAGGACGGGGACGAAAACGATTGCAACCGCCATGGCGCTTGCAGGCGTGCTGCTTGCCTTTTTTCTTGCTCTTATATTGTGCTGATTATGCCTGATCATGTGTTTATGAATCATGAAGGTCATGGTTGCTACTATTTTTGCTGTCCTGGGTTGCCGAGCCTTGGAGTTGCCTTTGGACGGTACGAGTACTGCGCCGTTCTTGTTGTCCCTCTTGCTGCCAAACATCCAAGTGGTTGAAAACTGACAGAAGCTCTGGAAACCCACGGTTGAGGCTGCTGTTCTCCAGAAAACCCGCTGCAACCCCAGCCCCACATTCCTAGGCGCTTAAAGTCTCCGACTCTTCAAATCGTTCAGAGATGCGGCGATTTGGACCCTGCTGCACCTGGCACAACAGAGGAGGGTGCAGGGCTTGCAGAGAGAGCTCGAGGAATGCTGCCCTTGTTTGTTGGGCCCAGCATCAGGGCCCAGCATCAGCCCGCTAGGCTTGGGCAGATTTTAATTGCAAAAACGGTCACCCGCTCAAGACAGCCATGATGGACGGGAACAACTGTCTCGGGACGGCAAGGGAATCACACGACTGGGCAAGGGAGCATGGGCGCAGCTCCAACATCCTTCGGCTTGGTTTCATGAGCCGTTTCCTTGCGCGCGCGCGCGCTTTCAGCGGCGAGTGCTCGGGCAGGCTCCGCAAGGGCCTCCGAGAGTCCGAAGCCTTAGCCCCCTGAACGATGAAGGGTCCTCGTCCTCCATTGTGGAAATTTCAAAGCCACCGAACCTTTGCTCCTTACCGCGGGACGTCGAACCCAAGTTCACCACAAGATCTTGATTCCAGGGTGCCGAAACACCAGAGCCCTTGGGCCCCTAGCCCTAAACCGTTAAAGCCGAAAGATATCGGACCGAAGCCGTGACCCAACAGGGCCAGGGGGGGCCTCTGGGCAAGCGGCGACCTCGCGAAGTGGCACCGGGCAGCGTCGCGCGAGACTGCGGCTTTGGAGCTTCTCTGGGGTTCTTTTGGGTTTAGGGTTTAGGGTGGCAGGGTCCCGGGAAAGGCTCTACTTCGGGGTCTTGGGAGGTAGGACCTTCAGGGACTTGAGGCGAGCTCCCATCAATGTGCTCCACTCCATTGTGCCAGGGACGGGGTACGGCAGGGGCAGGGGGCAGGGAGGGTCTCAAGCGCATGTAGTCGAAGTTTTCGATTTTGGGTTAGGGTTTAGGGGCTCCTTCATAGTTTTGGCATAAAAGACTGGGAAGAGTCGGGACGACTCATAAGACTGCAAGGGCTGAAACCCTTAGCATCATGTTGAATATAGGTCCTGTACCCTTAAACCCCAAATTCTAATAATTAAGGCCCATACCGCTTCGGCTGAGCAACGATGCCTCCGCAGAACGGGAGGTCGGCCACAGCAGGGCTGTTGGAGAGGCCAACGACATGGGCTGGCACTCTCTCCTTTAAGGGCCTTCTGCTGGGTGCTGATCCTGGCCTACACCAAGTCTGCCTGCTTCGGGTTTAGGTCACACCGAGGATCGGATGCCAGTATTGTCGGAGTTGCACATCTCTTCGAGCATACAGGGTTGGATGAGCTCCTCGCCTCTGGGTCGGGCAATGTGTAGTCATACTCTCACCATTTAAGCGCAGAGCCTGGGAAAAGCTGACATGCACGTGCGTTCTGCAGCTGGGGTCTAGGTTTCTGCATGCTGCAACCATCATTCGCTGCTTGACACGGGGCGATGTCACGTCACTGACTCTGGGCCGCACGCAAGCCAGGGCTCCACCGAGCCGTATGGTCATGGCGAAGGAGTTCCCGGAGCTCTGTGACTAAGGGGGTGCGGACTGACTGGGCTTTTCAGAATGGCTTCTATGGGTTGTTTTGATATAAGGCTTGTATATGCTTGTATAGGGTGGGAAAGCTGATCTGGCTGCGCGGGGATTCGGTTGCTGCTTTTTGCTATACTCATTCTCGCCGTTGGTTTGTGGTCAGTAATACTACTACAACTACAATACTATCCTAGTGCTTGTCAGTACTGCTACATTTGTCACGACTAGTATGAGTCTTGTTGCTGCTACTGCATGTCACGCGGCCGTGTAAGCAAAATGCAACTTGAAGCACAGGTGGCACTTGACAGACTAAGGCAGAGACGTTTGGAGGCTGAGGTCACAACTCCACAATTGAAGCTTAGAGTCCTATGAGCAGCGTGTTGAAGACTCTTGCCTTTGGACCAGAAGGACTTGAAGAGGCCTGGTCCTGCCTGGGGGCAGAGGTTTCGGAGTCAACACGCCGCTTCTTCGTGGGTCTTTAGAGCGGCACATCCTGGGAACCCGAATCCCCGAACCCGAATCCGGCAGCACAGAGCCGTTTCGTGACCCGCGCCCACGAACCCAATGTTCGGCCGAAGCTATGATTTCTACTGACAACAGTTGGCCGATCAAGCAAGAAGCATCAACACGCTCCATGCATACAACAGCGTTGTACAAGTCAACGTCATCGCATGTAGGATGCTCTCTCGAGTAGAAGCAGGTCATACTGTTGCCTGCATGCCTGCATTGAATTCCCGCCGTCGTGCCCGCGGGACCCAGACGCCCAGAGTGACAGTTAAGAAGTAAGCGATGGTGAGCTAAAGCCTGCAAGTAATGAGGGCGACAGGTTGGATATGGAACATTAAACCCTAAATTGCTAAACTCTGAGACATGGACCCCAGACCCTAAACCATAGTTTGGTTGACCGGCCTCAGCATGGTCAAGCCGTTGTAGAATTCATTCTGTTGTGAGAATCCGACATCCGAGCGTCTGCTGTACATGATCCTGACAGGCCTGACAAGTCACAGGTCCCGGTATCATATCAATCCATCATGATAATAAGTATCCGGGTATTACTCGCACTATTGTTGGTGATAACAATCGCAGACTAGCAACACTAGAAATGCCAATACCAATGATACAGCTTCAGGAAATAACTACAGTACTTGCAGAAACAGTATCAGTACTGGCAGTAGCAGTAGCAGCAGCAGGAGTAGGAGTAGGCGTCGGAATAGGAGTACAAGAACAAGTAGAGGTAATAGAAAGAAGTAGTAGTAGTAGTAGTAG